TGGAACACCTTCCTTTTCCTCCTCCTCTGGGCTGAGCTCAAAATTGCCTTTTCCAAGCGGCCTTTCTTGACTCTCCCAGGAGAGTTGCTAAGCTCCCTATCGGTGTTGCTATTCTTTCTCTGTTTTGGTACTCACCCCCAATATATGAACTTACTTATTTGTGTGTCTGTCTTCCTAAATAGACTAGGAGCTCTTCCACTCACTAGAGCCTAACCCTTATACCACACTGCACCTATTGATGATGTCAACAAACGTTGAAAGAAGTGCAGTCCTATTTAGGGCAGAATGACTTATATCAGACCTGAAACTTGTTGATTCACTTAGGACATACCTTGTTGTTTTGTTCACAGGATGAAAGGAACCACTGAGCTTACAAAGCTGCCTACCAAAACCTTGAGAGGGGATGATAGTAAGTTCTGATTCTGGACCAGGAAGCTGAGATCAGCTTTTGTTATTTTCTTTCTAGGGCATTTACTAGTGTCATCTAATCCAATGCTCTTTTAGACCGAGTTAGAGGGGTAGGAGAAGAGGGAACATGCAGGAAGCAGAGGGATGAAACACACACATGTAATTTCACGAGGGTGGGGGACTGTGACTTTATCACGGGTGGGAGTTGAGCCAGCAGCTTAGTATATAAGAGCAGGATGAACAATTCACCTAAAGATATGAGGTTTGGAAAAGGGAAAGGTATTACTTATGTTTTCTACCAAGTAGTATCTGGGATACAAAAATGACAAGGTAAACAACATCCATGGGAAGTGGTGAAGGAGACAGGAAAGTAAAGGAGAGAGAGGATAACAACTGAGTTTGATGAAAATCCTGGACATGAAAGGGGCTCTGAAGTGAATCGCTTCTATTTTGATTGTATTATCTGTGCATCTTATTGAACCCTCCTTGCTTTAAATCTGATGACAGACATTTTCACTAGTGATTCCTTAAAGTAACCCTGAGTCGCATCCACAGGCCACCAGTTGAGTATAAACTCGCCTTTAAATTGAACTAAGTTATCTCTAAGATTACTTGTGTTGCAAACTACCCAGTTGGGGGCAGGCAAAACAAACAGATGCCTTCTGAATGCTACCAGAGGAATCTTACATTTCTTTGGGTGTTGATATTTTAATAAAGCAAAGGGCTTTTCAACTCACATCCCGATTGAGGCAAATTACTCACAATCTTCACAGACTGAATGCTACAATAGGGTTTTTTCTAATTATCCTATTTCCCACCACTAGGATGGAGAATGGGCATGGGTGTGGGGGGTGCTGGAGGCACACATTTTTCTAACAGTGTGAAATGCTGTGAAGAACATACTGAGAAATTTATAGAGGTACCAGCACTCTGCCAAAACAAACCTTTCTAATAACATCGGATAGTAGAGGGCAGTGCATTTAGCAAGAGATCATCTTAACTCCCACTTTGCCCCTTTCCCTAAGGGTTTCCAGTGACTGAAGGAGTTAAATGAAGTCAGACTCCTGTTGTTTTGCTTGCTTCTGCCAGAGAATTCAGAAAGAAAGGCTCAGTCCCAGACTCTTAATGCTTTAGTTTGCAAAAAAATGATGAGAAATGGGCTGGGGATTTAGCTCAATGGCAGCGCGCCTGCCTGGCAAGCACGAGGTCCTGAGTTCAATCCCCTGTACGGGGTGGGGGAGAAAAAAAAGGATGAGAAACATCACGGGGCAAGTTCAGGCTCCCAATATCCAACCGCCATTCACTCAAGCCTACAGGTTTGGTCAATTTCTCCTGCTATCTTTTCTTTTATTTGGTGGTTAGCTATAAGTTCAAAAATGAATTTAAACAAGTATAGTGCCCAGACAAAAACCCTTTTATCAATTCTTATTTGATACGGTGAGGTTGAAAAGGATTAGGTTCCACAGAGCTCAAGACAGAAGGCATGGGAGCAGGCCCTTAATACACCTCTCATTTGTAAATGTGTCTATGTTGACAGGTTAATTTCTTTCTTTTAAAAAAATTTTATGTATTTTTATTTTAAGCTATAACTGATAACATAAAAACTGTACATGCTGACAGGATAACTTCAAAATAAGACTGGGTTGGTGCGTTTATTTTTGAAAAAGCTCCAAACTCATATAGCACAAATTCGTACAGCACTTCCTTCATGAAGCCACTATGACAATTCCCCTGGGCAGAAGAAGTTCTGTCTATGTAGGACGCCTGTGTGCTCTGGACATTCTCTTCCTTTAGCACTCATACAACTATTTTGGCATTATTTTTATTTCAGTCTATTTCCCCATTAGACTGACCTGGAGAGAAGAGACTTTGTCTTGGTATTTTCACTACTCCTCATGCATTCTAGCACCAATAAGTATTTAATAAATTTCTATTGAATTGAATAAAGATATATGGTGTGATAAAAAGAAGATGAATGTTTAAATTAAAAATGATTTATTAAAGTAAAAGATAGCTCTAAATACTCCCATCAATTTTAACTCCCTTATCTCATCATTCTTGCCGCTTTCTGAAATAGTTCTGGAAGTCCTCTTCCAGGAGTAGCTTTAGTTAATGCTGTCACGGCTACCTCCATGTCCTGAATTGATTCAAAACATTTAGCTTTCATGGTCACTATGACTTTGGGAAAGACCCAGAAGTGCCACAGTGGAAGATGTGGTGCATAAAGTGGATAAAGACACACTGTAATGTTTGCATAAGCCTGATTTTCTGTTGGATGGCACTTGACAGCAGCATTCATCCCACTTTTTAAATCACACCTTGTAAAGACACTCATGAAAGAGAACATGCAGAACTGCTTCAGAAAGTGGCAAGAATTATGGGATAAGTGTGTTTGAAGTGATGGGGAGTATTGGGGGGGGTTGATGGCAATGTGTCTTTTACTGTAATAAAATATTTTAAATTTAAACATTCACTGTATTTTTTTCATCACAACACACACTCTCATTTCAGTCAAATATAGAAGGAATTCCACCAGTTCAAGATCTATGGCTTAAAGGGACTGACAGGTTAATTCCTCAGGTGGTCCAGTTCAAGAGTGAAAGCAATGGAGGAAAATGGGCAGAGGGCAGGCACAAGCTAAGAGCCTTGATATATGGTCTAATTATGTCTTCCCAGAGAGATAAAAATGTCCCAGAGAACCCTCAAGCTACAGAAAAATGGTTCTCAAACATTTTGATGCCAGGAGGCCTATTGTGGTTTTAAAATATATTCACAAATTCCTTGATATTTGTCCCTTCGTAGAGCTTAACTCCCCTCCCCCTTGAGTATGTATTAGAATTAACACCTCATATGAACAGTCATGAAAGAGGACTTCCAGAACTGTTTCAGGAAGTGGCAAGAATGATGGGATAAGTGCGTTTGAAATGAGGGGACATATTCTGAGGGAGGTTAATGGCAATGTGCCTTTTCCATGAATTTTAATGCCAGAAATGATGGTGTGCCACTCCTAAGACTAGGTCATAAAAGATATCAAAGCTTTCTCTTTGCTCTCTTCCACAGATCACTTATTCTGGGGAAGTCAACTCCCATGCTGTGAGGTAATTCATGCGGTCTATGTGGTGAGGAACTGAGATCTCCTTCCAACAAGTAGCAGTAACTTGCTAAATTTCTAAGTGAGCCACTTTGGAAGAAGCCACTTCTAGCCTCAGTCAAAATCGCAGCCCTGGGCTAGGGATGTAGCTCAGTGGTGGAGCACTTTCCCAGCATTAGTAAGGCCCCGAGGACAATTTGTAGCACTATACAACACAGTAAAACAAAACCAAAGGAACAAATCAGAAAAAAACCACTACAGACCTGGGCAGTATCTTGAATGAGATATGAAATTTCATTTAGAACTTTGAGAACCACCATCTAAGCCATTCTCATGTTTATGACAAACACAAAGCTGTGAGATAATACTTCTTTGTTGTTTTAAATAATTGTCTTGGGATAATGATTAAATCCTTTTCCACTGAAATTTATTGTGGATCCCCAAAAGCTTTAGTTTATATGGTATATACTCATCAATATGTACTGTTTTAGAAATTAAAACTCAGAAAAATTTCAATATCTGTTTTTAATTTAAAGCTAAAAATTATAGACCCATTGCATGCTAATATGAATAACACTTTATGAAAAAAAATTAATGAGGAATGTAACAGTTTCACTTTTGCAGGAAATTTTTACTGTCTGGCTTGATAGGGGATAAGGTTCTACTACTGACTTTTATGCAGCGTTACTGCTTTCTCTCATCCTAAATTGTACCCTATACGACTAAGAATTATCATTTCAAAACCTCCTATAGTACACTGAGAGGAATGGAATAATTTGGTCCAAATCTCAGATGTTACTTAATTCATCTGTTAATTTCCCATCTATAGGCCAATCTCTTACAACCTCTTCAAAGTTAAAACAAAGGAGAATTCATGCCTGCTCTTATTGAGCTAGGATTGGCTACAAGTGCAATCCTTTTAAGTAAGGCAATTCTCCTATAGTTGTTTTGGGCTTTCCATCTGATTTCTACCCCCTAATCATAAACAAGAAATTAGAATAGAGTTGGAAGGAACTTGCATGGGGGAATAACAATAAAGGGAATAAAACATGTTTTATCTCTTGACTGTTGTTCTATAAAATATGAACCAGATCCTCCACTTTATCATTTTAAACGAATGTGAAGTGTGCAGTGTTTACATGTATGTGTCTTGCCAGCTTCTTTCTGGAGAACTTAATCCTAACTCAAGTTAGTAATGGGAAAAGCCATAAACTGAGCCATGAAATTGTGAGACCTAATTGTAAAAGATCTTGAATAGGAAAGCCCATACTAACCCTGTGTCACTGTACTAGCTATTTACATATGGGAGGTTTACATTTAAATATAGTTTGCATATAATACAATATCTTCATTTTTTAACACTGACAGATGATGGCATTTAATTAAGCATTCTACTTGAAGTACTAAATAATATATACTTAAAGGATTTTATTCCAATAGTTTCTGACCTTAAAACACAATTTCTAACTATATGGTGAAAGACAGAACAAATCCTTCTCACCTTCTTCGGCTGGATAAAGTTTCTTCATGTTCAACACGAGCAACTTTTAATACTTTCTTGTCAATAAACAGTTCTTCAGGATAATAAGCAGATCTATACTGGCGTTGTTGAGAATGGGCACACAACTTGCCAATCTGAAAAAAAGAAATGAAGTATAATTGTATGATACTTTCACAGACGTGATAGCTGTAATAAATTCTGAAATGCACTTCAATTCCTTTCCCCAATTTCCTTTTAAAGAGCAGAAGAACAAAGCTATCGCTACAGTCAAAAGAGATGATGAGGTTTTAAAAAAAGTGACTATTGGTCTGGCACAGCCTACTCAGAGATTTACTAAGGTGAAAAATACCTTTTTTACTATAATGAAGTGTGCATTTGAGAGGGCCCTCTACACCAAGTCCCATGCTACTGATAACTTTCAAAGGTGCCTGGCGTTTATATGTATGAAGAAGTTCACAAAAGGGAACTGCAAAGTTGAGGAGGAATTTTTATAGGAGATGGAGTATGTAAGAGGAACTGTACGTCAAGTAGCCTGTTAGTACAAAGAGTGGCTTTCAATGCACAGAGGGCTCCGATACTGAAGAAAATTTTGTTACAAGACTTGAGCTAATGTATTCTGAAAAAATGTCAGTGTGGTTACTTCTCTGGCTCTCCTAGTTCCCCAAGGGAAAAAGGCAAGTCTACCAACAGCCAGTTTCACCAGCTGTGAACCAGATATCGCTGAGCAAGCCCAGGATTGAGAGTATTAAAGAACACAGTTCTCAAGACAGCCATCCAGGACTGGGGATTTAGCTCAGAGGCACTGTGCTTGCCTCACAAGTGCAAGGTCCTGAGTTTGATCCCTAGTATCCAAAAAAAAAAAAAAAAAAAAAAAAAGACAGCCATCTGCCTCCTTTCCTCCATCCACTCCTTCTTTCCTACCAACTTTTATCATTCATTTAAAACATTTTATTGAATACCTCCTTCTCAAGCTCACTTTGAAAATGTACACGTACAAATGATTCTTTTAAAGATTGCATTTGGGGGCTGGGGATTTAGCTCAGTGGTTCTGCCGCCTGCCTTACAAGTGCAGGGTCCTGAGTTTGATCCCCGGTACCAAAAAAAAATTCCATTTGTTCTCTTGCTTAGCTCCATTCTAATTTCTTTGGTTAAATTAGCTGTAGATTTATTTTCTCACTTTCAGACACAAGCCTAAATGAACTGCCATGTAAAGATATGAACATTAACTTTCTTCTGTCTTCCTGTCAGTGCCAGAAACTATGTCAAATAGTATCACTCACATTTGTAGATGAGGAAATTGAGGTTCAAGGAGGTGAAGAGATTTGCTTAAGGCAGAGAGGCAGTGGAGTCACTTGCCTGCCTTTGAACCCATTTGTCTGACCACAAATCTTTTGCACCATGGTACTTGATTTCCACATGCTTACATTCTATTTTGAAAAAAGAACCCCCCACCCCCTACCCCCAGTCCTCAAAAACATAGCCAGCCGGGCCGGGGATTTAGTTCAGTGGCACCGCGTCTGCCCCACAAACGCAAGGTCCTGAGTTGGATCTCCAGTACCAAAAACAGGAAAAAAAAAAAAAAACATAGCCAGCCAACACAGCCAAGGTTAACATACAGAGTTTAAACTTTCAGGAAAAATATTAGAAATATCTTATAAGGAAAAGGGCTATGTCGTTGTCACTTTTGTACCTTCACACCATTCAAACCCCATTTTTCACACTGTTAGGTGAATTAACTGAAGTGAATTAAAGGAATTTCCCATTATCGGGCCCTGCATACCACTCTACTGATTAGCCAGGGCTCTGTGTTTCTCAAGATCCAGCCTCTGGATTTCTCAAGATGGCCCTGATCACATTTACTAAGTTACCAATCTTTATATAAAGGTATAAATGGCATTTAGTTTGTATAGCTGTGGAAGGCTTCCCATATAAATACTATTTTTTCTGAGACAGGGTCTTGCTAAGTAACCCAGGCTGGCCTTGGATTTAAGATCTTCCTGCCTCAGCCTCCCAAGTAGCTGGGATTACAAGTACATGCCTGGCTTAAATAAATTCTTCAATTAGAAAAATATCTAGAATCAGCAGCAGAATCACCTCCACTGATGAATGACAGCACCTATCATTTGATACTCAGACTAACTAGTCTCAAAATTTTATCCTAATGAGAAGGAAATAAGCATTATAGACACTTGAAAATATGTCATCTGGGTTTGGAATGTATGCTACTGAATTTTTTAATGTGTGCTTATGTAATGCTATTTGACTTAGGATAATATTAATTTCAAATAGAGAATGTATATTCTCTGAATATGTCTTCCCTGGTAAGTGCTTTAGGCCAGGGGCTGCCAGCTGGACTGTGCAGTTAAGCCCCAAGCACTTCCAAAGTATATAATACAGATACCAACAACTGAGGGCAGACTGCACACTATAAAATTATGCATACAGACATGTATGTTTATAACATGTATACTTATGTTTACTTCTTGTACATGTTACACTGCAAGTGAAATATCAAGAAAACTTTATTTTTGTTCCATAAATATCTGTTTATTGTTCCATGAATATACATCAATGTGAGAGTTTATTTCACCAGGACCAAAGTGCTCTTGGCATAGTCAGGTACACAGGATATATCCATTGACCTACACCTGTTCTGAATCCAACACCAAAATAAAATCTTTCATATATCTTTTACTGTAACTTGTCTACTTGCAACCCACAGCTGTGAAATCTCCCTACACATTGAAAATCAGTGCCCCTTTATATCAATGAAGACTAACTGGGCCACAGCAAGAGACCCCTGCCCCAATCCACTGGAAAAGGGTGCAGCTGAGGCAAACGTAGGAAGGTTAAAAACGAATGAGAATATAGCCAGCCTGCAGTCGGACCTTTCCTCCCAAGCCACCCAATGTGGCATTAGCAAGCAGTCTTCCCAAGGCTCTGTGTCGGGTAAGGGCTAGACAATGGTGTCGTGCCAATACCCTCACTCCCCCATCTGAAATGTGCCACATCTTATCAGACAGGCTGCATTTTCTTCCACAAATCTACCATGAAGAAGTCTTCTCATACACAAAACATTTGTCAAATGTATCCCACTCCCCTTTGGGATCTTCTCCCTACATCTTTCACCTCCATGCTGTGTGAGCTAGAGGTGAATAGTATGAGCTTATTTTGAGAAGTGGGCACTAAAAGAAAACAATTTACAAAGAGATGCAGCATTCACATTAAAGAAGTCCTTTCAGCCTCACACTTGAGAAACATCAGGCTGTGCTGGGAGACCGGGTCTTAATTCTTCAGATCTACTTGCTAAAGGAGCCAGCCTCCTAAGTGGCATTTCAGAATTCAGTAGCCTGCCAGGAGTTTCAAGCTCTTAAACAAGAAGTACAATCCAATTTCCTTTCACTGAGTAATGTACCTAGCCAAGAATGTTGTTACTTTTAAATACGGTTAGTTGGAGTGAATTTATTGGCTAGGTGGGTATCTCTATCAAAACATCTGGAGTATGATAACTTTTTGTTTTCCATTTTCCATGATTCCTAAAGGTGCCTTCATTTAGGTGTCATGATCTGTGGCAGGGAAAGCAATAGTGCCCTGAAGTGTCACAAGTCCTGAAATTTAAGAAGGTAGGGCCTCTCACTGTATTCCAGTCACAAGCCACTCTAGTAATCTTAGCTCCATCTCTCTTCCATCAGGGTCTAGGGGCATTGTCTTTGTACATACATGAAGCAAGTACATTTCTAGGGGCAGGCGAGATACAGTGAAGAGCCCAGCAGGCTGGACATCAGGAGATCGGACCTACAATCTCACTTCTTGTTTTTCACTGACACATTAAAATTGTACATATTCATGGGCTATGGTGTGATATTTCAACACATGTATACAATATGTAATTAGCATCGCTTCTTGGCCTTTTGGCTAAGATCAAGTGCAATATGTAATTAGCAAGTCAGGGTAATGGCATATCCGTTACTGCAAATATTTATCATTTCTGTGCATTGGAAACATTAAAATCTTCTTTTCTAGCTATTTTGAAATAGACAACAAATTATTGTTAACTACTGTCACTATACTGTGCTGTAGAACACTAGAACTTATTCCTCCTATCTGTGTTTTTGTACCAGTTAACCAACCTCTTCATAACTCCCTTCCTTGCAAACTTTCCCGAGCCTCTGGCAACCACCATTCTACTCTCAACTTGCATAGATTGTTTTTAACTTCCCTATACAAAGGAGGTCATGTGGCACTTGTCATTCTGTGCCTGGTTTATTTCATTTAATATAATGATTTTCATATACAGTCCCAGTATATGCTCTAACCTGGTGTCACAACTTCATTCCGCCTGTAACTCTAGCATGACACAAAAGAGGAAGATATGGCATTTGAAGTGCCATAATTTATTCTAGGCTCCCTTGTAAAAAAGGTGAAAATTACTTTGGTAGTGGAGTATGCTATTTCAGGGGAGAAAAAAATTATTTTCTTTATTCACTGACCAGTTCATAATGGAAACACCTATAATAAAAGACAGATTAACAAGAGAAAATCATACAAATACATGGGAGCCTTCACAAATGAAGGTCCAAAGAAACAAGGAAATCTGTGTGTTTTTATGCTAATTACGATAAAGAAGTGGATAAGAGTGAAGTGTGTTTGGACAAAGGTGCTATGATCTAATGGCAATATACTGGGGCAAACATGGCAAATCCTCTTTCTTCATATTCTTCTCTGTATCTCCAGTTACATAGTAGGTACCTCTCTCATAAATGTCTTATGATGTTCTTCCTGGGAGAGTCAGCCAGGTTTTACGACCTACTTCTGGGGAGACAGGGCAAGGGAAAGTGAGAGTGACCTTCCTGTACCTGCTGTTCTTTTGAATACCAAGGTGCCATATTTTGGAGTAGTGTGTCCTGAACCCAGTCATTACTAAAGATTTTCAAACTTTGGCGTGATGCAGTTCACACCTGCACCCTATAATCATTATGCCAAGAAACGCAAATACTTCATTGGTTAAAATCTAACCATATTCATTCTAAGCCTCCTACTTGCTGTTGGTTCTGGGTATTCTCGAATGACAGAATTGCAGACTTGATCTTTTACTTGGGATGGCTGAGCTTTAGTGAAAGATAGCCTATATTGT